CGGCAGTGTACAAATACACAGTAACACCGGATGATCTAGTGTAGTGTTGTATAGCTCACGTAGGTGTTATTTACCTGTGGAGTACTCATGTAGTACACTTAGATCGCTCTTTGTAAGTGCATAGTCTTTGTTTAAAGTTGGCCATAGTGTAATTAAATGGTTTTTTTATATCTTTGTAGTGACCGCGACTTCGCGATTATGAACCAAATAATAACCGAAGTCTGAGTAACGTTATGGAAGTTTTAAAATGACTGCGCTGTTATTAAATTTCATTTAAATGCTGTAACAATAAAGATGAATGGGTTTATTTTTAACACGTTTTTATTGTTTTGTCCTGTTCCTGTTGTTTGTGATTTTCATTCAATTTTTTAATATGGTTTTCGTCCAGTTCCAGACGTTTCAACAATCTTAAATTTTATGGACGTACTAACACCCAATATCAATAAAATAATTAGTTCAAAGTATTCTTACGAGGATCAGCAAAACTCATATCAGTGCAAGCATTAATGATCATACCTGAAATAAGTGAAGGAAACATCTGTGCCAGTTTGCTCCGTAAATAAACTGTTAAAATTCGTGTCTAAAGTTGTTCTCTAAAGTTGTTTGTATAATATGATTCACAAAGCTGTTGTAGTGACGAATCTAATGGTGAAATCAAAATTCATTTCCATCCAGTAATTTCGAAGATATAAGCAATAACATTTCAAAATTATTTGTTAACCGTCTTGAACCCTGACCTACGACAACCCGCGCGACGCCCGCTGCTCCACTGAGTCATCGCTACCGGCCAGCGCTGTGTGCGCGGCATTGCAATATCTACGATCTGCGGACTGCACGACGATGGCAAGTCGGACGTCCGACACCGTGCGCGGGCTGCCGCGCTGAGGTGAGCGAAGACGGTCAGTATATGAAATGTGCAAAATGTAAGCAGATTTTTGATATTATTTGTGCAAACATTACTACTGATGTGTTTAAAAATATGTCGGTGGAATTAAACAGATCTCGGATATGTGGAGAATGTTGCTGTAGGCAACCAAAACGAGATACTTCTCATACTCCAGTGCGGCCACACCTTATGCAGGATCTAAATACCACTTCTACTGCTTCGTGCCCTGACGTATCCATGCAGACTTCTGATAACGTGACTGTACGAGCTCAGCCGCGATACGCCCAGACTACTACGGGAAGCACAGGCGAAAGTATTACAGGAAATGATTTAAAAGATTATGTTGTGCGTGAATTAAAAAACCTGCAAATTGAATTCGAAGCATAGCTAATGAGCAAAATTAATACACTGCTTATTGAACAATTTTTGGCTCATTCAAAACTGAATTCATCATCATCATCATCATCATCATTACAGCCCTTTACAAGTCCACTGCTGAACATAGGCCTCCCCCAAGTAATTCCACAAAGCACGGTCCTGAGCCACCTGCATCCATCGACTTCCTGCATACCTTACCAGGTCGTCACTCCATCTAGTGGGGGGTCACCCTACACTACGCCTACCGGTACGAGGCTGCCACTCGAGAACCTTTCTTCCCCATCGGCTATCGGTTCTTCGAGCTATATGGCCGGCCCATTGCCACTTCAGCTTACTAATCCGTTGGGCTATGTCGGTCACTCTGGTTTTACTGCGGATATCCTCATTTCTGAGTCTATCACGCAGAGAAACTCCGAGCATAGCCCTCTCCATAGCTCGCTGAGCGACCTTAAGCGTCCTCACACGGCCAGCAGTGAAGAACCACGTCTCAGATCCGTAAGTCATCACTGGCAACACGCACTGGTTGTACAATCTAGTTTTTAGAGATTGAGGTATACCTGACGAGAAGATATGTCGCTGAAATGCTGATGAACGCTGCCCAGCCGAGTTGAATCCGTCGATTGACCTCTCGGTCGAAGTTGGACTTACCTAGTCGGACTATTTGTCCCAGGTAAACGTACTCGTCAACAACTTCGAGCATAGTGCTCCCAACAACTACCGGCATAGGTGTGACATGGACATTAAACATGATCTAAGTTTTGTCCATGTTCATCTTAAGACCTATCCGTTGGGAGGCACTATTAAGGTCAGAAATAGTAACGGAGTCAAGAAATCCTCCTTCCGTTCAATAATCTCAAAAGTAAAATAATAACTTTCACGCGAAAATCACAGCCCATTATTGTTAATTATAAGTTGAATGACGCTCCTTTGGAAAGAGTTAAAGAGATCACGCTCCTTTGGAGAGAAGACTTAGGATTACTATTAGATTGCAAATTAGATTTTTACACGCACATCAACAAAATTTGTAAGTCAGCGCACAAAATGTTAGGGTTTGTCATAAAGAATGTGTCACAGTTTGATAATACACGGGTCGCAAAAGTATTATATAATGCTTATGTGCGCAGTAAACGGTATGGTGCTTTTATCTGGAATCCTTACGAAGAGAAATACGTTCTAATGATTGAAAAAATACAACGTAAATTTGCTCGATGGATATATAAGAAACAGTACGGATACTATCCCTACTTATACCCTTCCTTATTCGTGTCTGGTATGGTGGACATTGAAACTTTGAAATTTAGAAGGGCAATGTCTCAAGTCATGCAATATTTGTCCATAATTCACAATAGGATTGATATGCCCCAAATACTAGAGCGTGTCCGCATCTTGGTCCCTGGGACCTTGGTCCTTGGTCCCGCGGCGCCGCCCGCGACTGCTGGAGTCCCCCCCCCCGTGCACGTACCGAGCGCGCTCGTCAAGCGCTCACCAACCGCGTACTCCGCATTATTGGGGACATACTTGCACAGCACCACGAGCTAGACTTATTTGCCGATGGATTAGGACATTTGTATAAAGAAATTCAAATATTTTAAATAAATTCTAGACATCAAACTTACATATATTGTTTTCATAATTAATTATTATAATTGCTATTTTGCTATATTATTACTATTTTATTTTAATATAAATGTTATTTAGGGACTCAGATTGTATTTTTTATGATGTTTTTTCCTCTATGATATTATTGGAGTGAGGCTCACAGAAAATGTACCATAACACACAAGAACTTGTAACACACGATAACACACTGTAATTGTGTAACACACTGGAAATGTTGTTAAGCTTGATGCACATAAAGCAATAAAAAAAATTGAATTTCAAATAAAATACGATTATAGATAGAATTATTTATTTAATAAAACAACTTAAAAAACAAAGAGATCAAAATTTGTACTTAAAATTACAATATCGTATTATTTTGGCAATATATATATATATATATATATATATATATATATATATATATATATATATATATAACTGAAGATTTAATAGCTAAGCAGGTTAAAATAACACAAAACACAAAACGACCAAAAGAATACTTTTTAGGTGATCCTAGCGATAAGGTTTATTTTGAGTAGAATATTTACAAGTAGGTAGATATAACATATTTATATATATAACATATATATAAATATATATATATATATATACACATATATATGTTATATCTACCTACTTGTAAATATTCTACTCAAAATAAACCTTATCGCTAGGATCACCTAAAAAGTATTCTTTTGGTCGTTTTGTGTTTTGTGTTATTTTAACTTGCTTAGCTATTAAATCTTCAGTTACAGTGTCTTCATCTTTTATTTTGTATTTTTTTATCTTCATGGCTTGATTGTTCTATATTTTTCTCTCTCTATTTTACTTGTGTCTGATATTTTTTTTTAAATTTGTAACGTTCTTCTGTTCTTTCAATTGATAATCCATATGATCCAGATAATCATCATCTGATAAGATATCATCGTAATGTGATACTCTTCACCAGAAGTATCATGCACAGAAACCGTCATATCTTCGTCTGCACTGCTCTCCTCTTCCGTTTTAAGTTTCTTATTTGTTTTTAGGTGTATGTCTTTTATTTTTCTTTTCTTTGAACATTTCTTCATTCTGTCATGAGAACTTTCTTTCAAACTTTTGCTAGCAATGTCTGTTTTGAGGTTTATTTGTTTTAAATTGAATGGAGTTCTACTGATTCGTTGTTTCGTGGCATCTTCAGGTATAAAGAAAAGCTGTATTTTGGTTTCAGACGCTTGTAAAAATTCATAAGCTGTTTTAGCGTCAGGAACATTTGAACCATAAGCGACAATTGAGTCTAATTTTCTTTTAATGGCTCCTCTTACACCATCAGCGGCTCCTTTACCGTGTGACGCCTCGTAAAAGTTCCACGTGGAAAATGGATAACCCAACTCTTTCGTCAGTTTTGCGAAATAATAAAAGTTTTTCTTCTGCCGGTATTGTACAGTTGGGCCATCTGAATAAAAATGAATCCCGTCTACTTTGGGTAATTTCTCCTTGACCAATTTAAGCACAGATAAGAGATGTGCCCAAATGGCATCTGGTCCGTGGTCTTTGTTTGGACTTAAACTTGCAAAAGATTGATGACCTTTTTCGGTATATAATACCCCAGTACCTTTTGAAAGTTGAAAATGATAATTTTCCTCCTTCTTCTCTATATTTCGGATATAATTTATGTAGAGAGCCAAGCAAATACTTTCTCTGTTTTTTTTTTTGTTTTTTTTTTTGTGTCTTTACTTCGTTTTCCCCTGCTATCATTCTACTCTACTCACATCATCCCCTTCATAAATGTTTCTTAACTATGTCTGTATTAATGGGCTTTTATTTTTCTGTTTAGTGTGACGAATTTTTGCTTTAAGACCTAAATAGGTAGCCATCTTAGTTTTCATACTGTATGTATTAATGTTATCACTTTTGGTAAAAACATCTTTAATTAATCGTTTTTCTTGAGTGTTTTTACTTTTGTAGCTGTCTTTTATAGTGTCCACTATTAAATTATGTTCTAGCAAAACTTTTTTCACGCTTTCTATTTCTTCAGGTCGAATACTAAGTAAATTTTGGTCAATGTATGCGCACGTTTTCGAAACGGGATACATTTGTTCAAGGGCTTCATCTTTTTTGGCAATTGGGCTTGACCTGTCTTCAAAACTACGAATCATTTGGTTTTTCTCCTCAATAATTTCAAGTTTAATCGTTGCCTAATTTTTTTCAACGACTTTTTATATTTTTTTAATTCTTCTTCTAGTTTTGTGTTTTCATTTTTCAGTCTATAAACGACCCTTCTATTATAATTTCTCTTCTGTGTTAAAATTTGTCCATGTTCTTCTAAAGGCACTACTTCAGGCTTAGGTTCTTTTCTGATTTCTTGATCAGATGAAGGATATTCTGCTATTCTTTTTCTATTTCTTTTTGTTCTTTCTGCATTTTGTTTTTGCTGCAATTTAAATTTTTCAGGATTTACTTCTTTCAGCTGTTCTCGATAAAGTTTCTGCCTTTCTTTAGGTGTTAGAGGCATCTGTAAAATCAACATAAAATAAAAATAAAAACCATGAATGCAGTTACATTTTACTTTTTGTTGTATATTAAACTTTTTTTCTGGTTTAAAAACCCAAAAATAGCCTACTTTAAACAACAAATTTATATGGGACCAGCCTGAAGGCAGCCTCTATTCACCAAAAAGTATTTTTGAAATCGGTCTACAGAATCTGAAGAATCGCGTAACATACATACAAAAAAAAATATCAGTTGAATTGAGAACCTCCTCCTTTTTTTGACACAAAACATAAATATTTAGCTTTTTCTATACCTAAGTATTGCAATGTGAACTAAGCTTTATACTTTTCACGTGTGTTACGTCACACAACTTTGTAACACACGCAACATACGTGAACAAACACTCGTGAAGAACATAACCTAAAATTCAGGTAGCATCTTTACTTGCAAAGCAAATCCGTAATAAACTGCATTATTTAGGAATATTTAATGTCTCTTTCAACTATATATATTACAAAACAACTTAATGTAATTACTTACCTTGCAAAATTATTTCCAAAAGTCTCTAAAATCCAATGACGAAAAATAACACACACCAAGTACTGCCTACTGCCCGTAAACCATGATGTCTGACAAAACACTGACGTTTCATATTGAAAGTTATAGTGTTGCCATTGTGAAAAAAATAGATGACGTGTTGCTATTGCTGTAACACAGTTTTTGTAACACACGTGAATCAGATGGAACACATTTGTTTATTCAGTCGTTTTTTAATTATTTTTTTACTAGTTTTATTACCCTTATTATTAGAACAGTAGTTTTATGCAATTACATTTAGCATAACATTAAGAAATCACGATACTTAATTCAAACGACGAAGTAATGAAGAAAAAGAAAATGTACTACGCATGGACACATTTTATTTTTCTATGAAATTACATCTCACCAACTTTTTGTACCAGTTTGTTTTTGCTTATATTAAAAAGTATTCACAATTTAAATCGAGTAATATTAACAAGCGAATAATGCCCAATGCAGAAAATAATCAGATTATTTACAAAGAACTACCAAAAAATATATTATATATTCGTGAATTTTGGCACGTGAAAAATATAGACGAAGTACATTTTTTGTGAGCCTCAACCATTGATGTATTGTTAATTAGGATATTGTAAAATAATTTCGCTATTAACTATATAATGACGAGGATGTGTAATATCGAATTGTTAATCTTATAAGCGTTTTGGATGTAACATCCGTTAGCTTATAAGATGAAATGAAATAAATAAAAAAATAAAAATGAAATAAATTAATTTTTTTAAACTCAATTGTTGGTAACTTTAATATTAATGTTTTTCACTTCTATACTGTTCAATCTAAATAAAAATTTAAAATGTTTTGATATTTTTTTTATAAAACTGCTATAAAATAGTTTTATTCAATTTGCAATGTTCGCGTAAATATTAGAAAACATAATTACGTACTTTTATCAAAATTCCACTGCTGAATGTAGGCCTTAACCATAGAATGCCTCAAAGTTAGAATATTTTGCATAGTTGTGCGTGAGTGCGTGTGCGTGCATGTGCGTGCGTGTGTGTGTAACAAGTGTAAATGATAGTAAAAACCGTTATTTTCGTAAAGATTATAAGTTCTTCCGTATGATATTTTAACGCGAGGATATTCCAATATATGTTGTATATTATACCACCCGACACAGTTATCTGAATCTCCATTATCACAACCACAAAAATAACTGTGCACCCTCACCAAAATGTATCCTGTAGTACACGGAATGATTGACTACCTTACACCCGTGTTCATGTGTTCTGGTCTGCAGGTTATATTGTGCCAGTAAAACTACAGACTGTTAGGTATTGCATCGTAGTTCAGAAGTGACGAAGCATCTGTAGCCTTCTTTATTTGAAGTTCTTTGCATATATACACACATTGGCTGCATAGCTATTTAAATACCGTAAATTATATATTATGAGACCAACTCTAGATATATTTTTTATACGTGGTAGAGCCATGCTGCAGTTATATTAGTAGTATAGTTGTAGCACGAATGGGTCGGCTCGACCGGGGAAGGACCACGCTCTCAGAATACCAGCGTGAAATAGTAGCTCAATGCTGCTGTCTTTCGTATGGTGAGTGTAGAGACCGGAGACCCTTTTTATTGGAAACGAGGCATTCCACCTTACCTATTCCTCACGGGTGACAACGCATCTGCATTTTTATTCGTAATCGAGGATAGATGTATATGTCTATGGGCCGCAGCAACTACTTACCATCAGGTGGACTGTGTGCTCGTTTGTCACCCTATCCTATAAAAAAAAACACCGGCATTACACGCTATGATCCTTTCTCACCTCCTATTACACAGTTAGAAACGAAGTTAATTATTGCACTTATGTTGCAATCAAATATGCAGATTATACGGATATTAAAACAAGTAACTTCTTAACCGAAAATACATTTTTCATTTTGGGTAATATTTTAATGATTGGTGATCCTCGCTTGGTCACGAAAAAAGATTGATTCTTTGTAAGGAGTAGGCTTTTTACTTTCAGATTTGTTTCTTTTTTGTGATTAGTAGCGTGACTGTAATTTCACGAGTTGTTTTGATCCATATATTATTTCAGTATATTTCCTAAACTCATGTGAGAGTACTTTTGTCGTCATACTAGGTCGTCACTCCTTGTTTCATACGTGGTAGATCCACGCTGCAGTATTATGGTTCTAGCACGAATGGGTCAGCTCGATCGGGGAAGGGCCACGCTCACATAGAATAGCAACTTAATGCTGTTGTATTTCGTATAGTGTGTGTACCGAATACCCTTTTTACTGGAAACGTAGCAGTCCATCTTAGTTAGTACTGACAACGCATCTAAATTTTGATTCTTAACCGAAGATAGATGTGTTTGGACCACAGCATTCACTTACCGTCAGGTGGTATTTACTATGTGCTAGTTTGTCAATTTTACCTTGTGCTAGATTGTCGGTGCTCCAAGGTATAAGGTCTCCAAATTATCATAGCCTTTTTCACTTTTTTATAATCAACAAATCTACACCATTGCTTTAATAAGTTCTTACTGCGAAACACCTAGTGTAAAGAATCCAACTTTATTCAATCTTTATTTCTTAGGGTTGACTGGTAGGGCATTACGTCCGCCCGTTTTAACCCGTAAGTAGTTGAATATGTGTTGTATTAAAGGATAAATAAATATATAAAATAAAAGATACTCATAAACAAAAATATTTTTCCTCCAGAGTTATAGTTCAATTTTATTGAGTAATTATACACAATTTAAAAAAAACTCATAGGAACCATCGGCGATCATCAATTCTTGGCTAAAACTTTACTTCTTTACATATCCATATATCGCATAACCTATTTAATACAAGATAAATCATTAAAAAATAATAAAAATAACATGTTGCCAAAATGAGAACCTCATTTTTTTGAAGTTGGCTAAAAATTCATTAATCATTACAGCCTTTCACAAGTCCACTGATGGACATAGATCTCCCCAAAGAATGCCACAAAACGTGGTCCTGAGTCACCTGCATCCATCGACTTCTTGAATGTATTACCAGGTCGTCACTCCACTTGCGGACCGCCCTACACTTCGCCTACTGGAACGAGGCTATCACTCGAGAATCTTGTTTCCTCATTGTTGTCGGTTTTTGGCTGGTATATTGCCGGCCCATTGCCACTTTTTCTTTCTAATCCGTTACGCTACGTCGGTTATCATCCAAAACTGCAAATGTCCTCATTTTTAAGTCTATCAAACCCCAAGCATAGCTAAAAATAATCTTTTTAATGGCAAAAACAGTTAAAAATCGTATTTCATAATAACTTATCCTAGCTTACATGTCATAAAATTCTCATTTGCGTAGGTTGTCTCAGCCGCGCCATTATTTACTCCACACTGACGCTCAAACCAAACTTTTAAGCGATTATAGACGAAAGAGGTTTTATACAAATAACGTTTTAACAAGGTAGATATATCAAAGGACGTCAAAGAAACTATCATCCCGATTTATGGGTAGTAGAACTGCTTTTCAGCATAAGAGTCTACTGCGGAGGTATCTACCTCTTATCTGCTTCTGCCGCTAAATAGCAGTGCTCGCAAAATATTTTGCAGCACCTATGCTCGCGGGTGCCTTTTGACTTTAATCATTGTTCAAGTCTGCGAATACTCTTACTTTATGAAGAATATAGTAAATATTTTACTAGTTGGTAGGACCATTTTCTGTCTAGCGGACGGATCACTGTACCAGTTTACTCACCATGTTCTAGTCAATACATACTCTTATGATATGGGAAATACAGAAAATGTGTGTATACAAGTTGGCAGGACTCCTATTCCGCCTAGCGGTCCGTCTGTGCGGGTACAACTCTCTCACCTGTGTCTGCTGCTGTACTTACACTTCTGTGTTCCGGTCCGAAGGGTGTAGAGAGCAAATAGTGTAATTGCAGGCTGTGATGTTATCCAGTTAAGTCTTCAGAGATAGCAGCGCCTCTGCAGACTTTTTGTTTGAAGTGGACTGAATGTGTTCGTCCGTTTATCAGTTAAATTTATTGAAAACATACTACCACCTGCTTGGGATTATACCACTGCAAGTCTTTAAGACACAGTACGTTAATTCTGCGTAGATCGGATCAAAAGCAACAATTACAAAACCGTACTCTGAATTAAATCTGATATTGATATTGGTTCTGGAAGGCACCCATTACGCCGGGAATTAAAAACAAGTAAACAATTCGTAAAAGTAGTTTTATTTAGTAATGTTTAAAATATTCCCACACTGTAGAGTATCGCCCGCATCGGCCGGCGCTTTACATTGTTGTTTGTGTCACTCTTTTACAACGATAAAATTAAAAAAAATTGTACAATCTTCAATAAGACCGAATCTATGTATTTGAAGTCAATTAAATACACATTATTAAAGATACGAAAACAGATAGAACATCGGGTGGACTGTGTGCTCGTTTGTCACCCTATACCATTAAAAAAA